GGGAGGGGGCCAGCAGGCGCAGGACCGGCACAGGGCACCATGCTCTGCAGCAGGGCCTGGAGGTTCAAGTTTAGCACTCAGTCCTCAGCAAGCTACTCCCGGCGGAGCTGCAGGTCCTCCATCATCCAGGCCTCCATGGTGCGGTTCAGGGCTCGCAGGGACCCCAGGTGCTGGTCCCAGTACTCCTGCTCCATGGTGGTGGTCCGGAGCAGGCCGTGGGTGCGGGAGCATGTCCCGGGCAGGGTGGTGCACCCTGCACGAGCAGCTCATGCAGCTGTAGAGAAAGAAGAGAAGTGGTCAGTTCTCCTTGGGGACACAGTGGATGATATCCTGCCCCCCCCCATGACATGAGGGCAACCGTGCCCTGCACCGTCAGAGCTGCTGTGCCTGCACAGAGGCCATGGTCAGGATGTCTGGCTCTCCCCGGGACTGGGAGCTGCCCCAAGACTGCACCCATGCCCCTGTGCCATGTATAGTGTGGCCAGGATGGGGGGGGAGATGTCCCCTGCCTCTGTGTAGAGGGGGCGTGTGAAGGGAGAGTGTCTTGCTGGGTTCCGCCCCAGGTTTGGGAGCATGTCAGGTCTCTTCACACACGCATTTGCCTATTGGGCCACGGCCCCTGGGTGTCACGCAGCTGGAGCAACCTGCCCAAGGATGGCATGCCACGTGCTTGCACGTGCACAGGCGGCTGCATGATCCGTGGGAGGCATGGCCCATGTTTGCGGTCCGTGGTCTCCCTGTCCACCTCCCCCCTCTGGGTTGGGGACAGTGCTGGCACTTACCTGGTATGACCTCCCTAGACAACCTTGCTGAATCCGGTGCTGGAACAGCTGGTGGTGGCCCGGCTGGTGTACCCGGGTCAGGGCCTTCCGGTCCCTTCTCACTGCCTCCCGGGCTGGCACGGACTGCACTGCCCCCCAGGATTCGGTCAAGGGCGGGGAAGTAGGGGCAGGTGGCAGCCCCTGCTGCGGCGCTGCCCCGGTGGCCCTGGAGTATGTCTGCTGCAGCTCATTGACTTTCAGGAGCACCTGCTCCTGGGTGCGCCTGTATCCCTTTCTGGCCATGGTGGCCACTATGCAGCCTTAGATGGCTGCGTTCCTCCGGCTAGTGTGGAGATCATGGAAGTTGGAGGCCTCCCAGCAAACCTCAATGAGGGTATGTCTACCAGGAGCCCCTGCTCCTGGGTGCGCCTGTATCCCTTTCTGGCCATGGTGGCCACTATGCAGCCTTAGATGGCTGCGTTCCTCCGGCTAGTGTGGAGATCATGGAAGTTGGAGGCCTCCCAGCAAACCTCAATGAGGGTATGTCTACACTGAAAAGTTAGTTCGAACTAACTTTCCTAGGCGCTACACTAGCGCTCCGCTAGTTCGAATTTGAATCGAACTAGCGGAGCGCTTAGTTCGAACTAGGTAAACCTCATTTTACGAGGATTAAGCCTAGTTCGAACTAGCTAGTTCGAATTAAGGGGTGTGTAGCCCCTTAATTCGAACTAGTGGGAGGCTAGCCCTCCCCAGGTT